GGCCGCCGAGGCGGCGCTCCGCGGGGACGCGCGCGCGCGCAACGGGGCCACGCCGGCCCACGACGCGGCCGCCACCGGCAACCTCGCCTGTCTCCAGTGGCTGCTCACGCAGGGCGGCTGCGGCGTCCAGGTGCGAGCGGGGTCGGGGCGCGGGGCGCGGCGGGACGGCGCGAGGTGCCCGGGGCTGCTCTATCCTGCCCCGGGGCTGCTGCTCCCCTCGGCCAGCTCSGCACGAGGCCTACTTGGAGTCCCCCCTCCCACCCCGGGCGCCCCTCTGCCCCTCTCACAGCCCCAGGGGGACTTTCTTCCCTGCCTGCTCCGCCTCCAGTCCCCCTCTCCCCAACCTGAGTAGCTAGGATCCCAGCTCCCAGGCTGGCGGCTGCAATGGCAGCCTTTTCCCCCCATCTCCCCACAAGGGCAGCCCAGAACRTCGCTGCATCCCACCTCCGTGGGAAGGGGAGTTGGGAAAAAGTGCATCCTGCAGCCAGGCTGGTGGGGAGCCCTCCCAGCCGCTTTGCCAGCTCATTAATCCTCCAAGGGGGGAGCTCCAGCAGGAGTATGGGGCTGCTGGTGTCCCCTCGCAGGGGCCATCCACAGCCCAGGGTGGGAGGGTCCTCTGGCCACCATGACCCCAGCCTTCCTGCACCCGTCACACATCAGCCTAGCTCTGCTTTCTGCTGCTGTGGTTGCTCCATCGGGTGATGCTGCTCTGAGCTCTTGGACTGAAGGTGCAGCTGCCTCCTCCTGCGTCAGAGCAGAGCCCTTGCCTCTTCCTCCTTGTGAACCCCCTGAGGGATAGCACAGCCTGCTCCTTATGCCAGCCTGCCCCACTAGCTCCCCAGGTCCCCTGCACTACAGCCCCGCTGGATCCCCAAAAGCCTGGGAAGGGTCCCCCACATCCCAGAYCCACCAGGCTGGATAGTGCTGTCTCAGCCAAGGCAGAGCGGGTCCCTTCTGAAGTCCTCCCTGACCTCTATTCCCTGATAGACTAATCTGAACCGTCTGCAGAAGGGCAGTGGGGGTCCCCAAAACACCCTACTCCCTCCCACTGCCTGGAGCAAGAGATCACGCGGGCTCTGGAGGGAGGAGTAGGGCCCCAGGGCAGAGTGGGCAGGGGCACCACTCTGGGGACGGGTTCTGGCCAAGGGGGAAGGTTTCCTTCCACCCACACCTGCCATGAAACACCTCCGGCCACAGAGAGGCCAAGGGGGAAGGTCACTCACAGAGCAGCCTCTAAGCTGCCGCCCACGGCCTGGCACAGGCCCTGGTGCCCCTACTGCGCACACAGCCCTACCTCTCTGTGACCAGCGCCACTGGCAGCCGTGCCAAGGCCAGGTGCTGCCCCTGGGAGCTGCCCCTGGGAGCTAATCCTGGGAGCTGCCCTCGGGAACTGCCCCTGGGAGCTAATCCTGGGAGCTGCCCTCGGGAGCTTATCCTGGGAGCCGATCGTGGGAGCTGCCCCTGGGAACTGATCCTGGGTGCTGATCCTGGGAGCTGCTCCTGGGAGCTGCTCCTGGGAGCTGCCCCTAGGAACTGATCCTGGGTGCTGATCCTGGGAGCTGCCCCTGGGAACTGATCCTGGGAGCTGATCCTGGGTGCTGATCCTGGGAGCTGCTCCTGGGAGCTGCCCCTGGGAACTGATCCTGGGTGCTGATCCTGGGAGCTGCCCCTGGGAACTGATCCTGGGAGCTGATCCTGGGTGCTGATCCTGGGAGCTGCTCCTGGGAGCTGCTCCTGGGAGCTGCCCCTGGGAACTGATCCTGGGAGCTGATCCTGGGAGCTGCCCCTGGGAGCTGATCCTGGGAGCTGATCCTGGGAGCTGCCCCTGGGAGCTGATCCTGGGAGCTCCGAGCGCGCAGCCCCCACGGAGCCCGGCTGCAGTTCAGATCCCGGGCCCCGCACTCCGGGCAGTGGTGGGGCATGAGCAGAGGGCCGGGCTGAGCCCAGCAGGGTTCCCGTGGTGAGTGGCGGCTGCCCCGAGCACCTCCAGCCTCTTGCAGCAGCCGCTCTGCTCCACTCCGCCGTTACACAACCCTGGGCCGATAAGCAGCTTGCCCAGGCGCTCCAGAGCTCCTAGCATGTGACGGGGGTGGAGGTGGTGCGGGGGGAGCCGATTAAGCAGGAAGGACGGGTTCAGCACCACTTGGCATCTTGCTGGCCCCCGGCCAACCCTGCTCTGGGACCCTCATCGGGTTGAGCCCGTGTGTGGGGCTGGGACGTGGCCCGGCCTGGCACCCGGTTTGCCCCCAGCCTTGCCRCAGGCACCATTGCTGGTGCACGGCTCCCTGCACCGGCCCAGCCCGCGCCCCCGTCCTCGCCGTTACCTGTGCACAGAGGCYGGGGACAGGTTGTCCCTGCAGTCCCTCTGCAGCGCGTCCCGCCTGCCCGTGCTGCCCGCGGCTCCCCTTCCTCCCGCAGGACACAGACAACTCCGGTGCCACTATCCTTCATCTCGCGGCCCGCTTCGGGCATCACGAGGTCATCGACTGGCTGCTCCGCTTCGGCGGCAGCGACCCCAYGGCAGCCACGGACACGGGGGCGCTGCCCGTGCACTACGCTGCGGCCAAAGGAGACTTCCCCTCCCTGCAACTGCTCGTGGGCCACTGCCCGAGGTAACGGCCCGCGCCGCGGGGACGGCTGTGCRGCGCGGCGGGGACACGCAGCCCCGGCGCGTCAGCAGCCCGTCTTCACGGTCCGGAGAGAAAGGGCGAGCGCGGAGCCGCGAGCACTGGCAGAAATATCGCTGCCGCCGGCACGGCGGATTTGTTCCCAGCACTAGTGCGGGGGGCGATAACAGAGGCGCCTTTGTCCGCCTGGTGTTATGTAAATGGATGAGGGTGCGGGCGTCCGCGCTGGCCCCCCCGCTACAGCAGCAGCACTCGGGCTCGCAGGACGAGGACCAGGCGCCCGTCACCGGGCCTCTCACGGCTTCCCACGGTGGCAGAGGCTGCTGCTATGAGCAACGGCAGCAGTGCCCTAAACCCGGCCCAGGCGCCTCCTGGCAGCCTTTGCCCCCATCGCTCACCCCATCCCGCCGCAGTGGGAATAGCCTTGTCCCCCACRAGGGTGCCCAAGCACCAGCACCTGCATGCCCATAGTGGCCTTAACCCCGTCTGTCCCAGCACCTGGCCCTGGGCAGCACCCCCTGCCCCGCTGCTCGTGCCGGGCCGCACGCGGGCGCCGGGTGCCTTTGCTGCCATCCCCGCCTGCCCGCACGAGCAAAACGCTGAATTATTCACCACACAGCCACCCCCGCGCCCGCTGGCAGCTCCGTTACAGCAGTGAAATTCAACGCCGGGGCCGCGGGCACTGCCACCAGCAGTGGCCGCAGCTCCGGCACCAGCCKCGTGCCCGGCCGGCGTCCCGCAGCCCGGCCCGGCAGCTGCCGTCGCAGCGGGGGCCGCCCCGGTCGCGCCGCCTGGCAGCACCGCAGCCCGGCTCCGAGCGCGGCGCCTGGCGGGATTAGCCCCGCCGGTCACAGCTGCTTCTCCCCGCGGTTGTCAATGCAAGTGTGGTCTGCCAGGCTGGTTGCCCAAGGGGACAGGCAAGGGGTGGRCAAGGGGGTGGGCAAGGGGCTGGCACCGCAGGCCTCACTCTGGTCCATGTGGAGATGTGCCGGCAAGGGGGGAGCCATGGGACGGCGCCAGGCACAGGGACCCCGTGGGGCTCTGAGCGCTGCCCACGGCCCTTCTCACAGTTACATGGATCAATTATTAAGGACCCGTGATCTTCGCGATAAGAGAGCGCAGTATTTATTGCTCTTCCTTTTTTAAATATTCAACAGGTCTCTATGGAGCCCTTAATAAAGCAGCTCCCCATGGGGCTGGAGCGGGCTGCCAGGCGCTGGCTGCAGGGATGTGGGTGCAGGATGCAAGGAGACGGGGTGCAGGCCCACGGAGGGGATCCCAGGGCTCCCGCTGCCAGGGCTGGGGCTGCTACGTGTGGCCAGCACGGCTGCCCTCACCCAGTGCCCTGCGGCCCCAGGCAGCTCCACGGTGCAGCAGCCCTGCGGCTGCCGGCTGCCTAAGCAGCTTATTTAAAAATACTGCTAAATTGCAGAGTCCAAAAACAGCCGAAGGAATGAGCTTAGCTTAAGCGTGCTTATTAACTTAATGACCTGCCGCGGGAGCTGCTGCGCCTGAGGGGAACGAGCGGAGAGCTGTGGGGYGCAGTACCCGGTGGCAGGAGCTGCCCCCCGTGTCCCTGTGTCCCCCTGTTTCCCCCTGTGTCCCTCTGTTTCCCCTGATGTCCCCGCATGTCCTCAGCCGTGCCCACGCTCCGCGCGGTGCAGCGCGGCGCTGACCCACGGCCCCTGTGCAGCTCACTCAGCGCCCAGACCAAGACCGGTGCCACCCCGCTATACCTGGCCTGCCAGGAGGGCCACCTGGAGATCATCCAGTACCTGGTGAAGGAGTGCGGCGCCGACCCGCACGTGCGCGCCAACGACGGCATGACGCCGCTGCACGCCGCGGCCCAGATGGGCCACAACACCGTCATCGTGTGGCTGGTGAGCGCGGCGGCGGGCCGGTGGTCACGGGGGCGGGCGGCGCGTGGCGGCCCCCGCTCAGCTCCGCCACCGCCCTGCTCAGATGAGCTTCACCACCGTGAGCCTCTCGGAGCGCGATGGGGACGGTGCCACGGCCATGCACTTCGCGGCGAGCCGCGGCCACGCCAAGGTGCTCAGCTGGCTGCTGCTGCACGGTGGTGAGATCAGCACGGACGCCTGGGGCGGCACGCCGCTGCACGACGCTGCCGAGAACGGCGAGCTGGAGGTGGGCGCGGGGCGGGCGTGCGCCCGGGGCGCCGCCGCATCCGCCCGCCGCCGCCACGCGCCTCCTCCCGCAGTGCTGCCAGATCCTGGTGGTGAACGGCGCCGACCTCAGCGTGCGYGACCAGGACGGCTACACCGCGGCTGAGCTTGCCGACTGCAACGGGCACAGCCAGTGTGCCGAGTACCTGCGCACCGTGGAGAACATGGTAGGGGTGCGGAACGGTGGCGGCGGGGACGGTGGCAGCAGTTGCGTGGGCCCCGCTGAGCCGCCGCGCCGCCGTGCCGCAGAGCCTGGAGCACCRCGTGCTGTCGCGGGACCCCTCCGGCGACGGCGAGGGCAGGCAGCCCGACTCGGGCATGTCGTCGCCCAACACGACGGCGTCAGCGCCGCAGCCCCGCTTCGAGCTGGGCTCCCCCGCCAGCACCCTCTCCAACTACGACTCGTGCAACTCCAGCCAGTCCAGCACTGGTGACAAGCGGGGCGGCCCGCCGGGGGCCACCGCGGCCCGTGAGTGTGCCCACAGCATGGAGACGGGGGGCATGGCACTGCAGGGGGGCCACAGCGTGGCACCGGGTTGCAGGGCCCTGCTGCCGCGCAGTGCCACGTGCCAGGCCCCGCTCAGCGCTGCCCCCRCAGGCGCCCCCGCCGCGGCGCTTGCTGACATGCAGACCTACATGGACATGCTGGACCCCGAGCTGCGGCCGCGCGGTGCCCGCGGCGCAGCCGCCGAGGGCCCGCCGCCGCCCCCCGGCTTCCCCCCGCCGCCACCGCCACCGCCGGGCACCCGGGTGCCGCCGCCACCGCCGCCTGGGTACCCGGCTCCCGCGCCGCCCGCYCAGCACACAGCCGACATCTACGTGCAGGCCAAGAACAACCTGCGGCACGTGGAGAGCCAGGCGCTGCACCGCGAGGTGGGTCCTGGCACCCCATGCCGGCACCGTGGCCGCGGGACCTGCACAAGCGCAGGCTGCCCCGTCCCATCCTGCCCTGTCCTGTCCCACCCATCCCGTCCCAAGCAGTGCATGAGCTCCCRGCCGCCAGCAGCGCCGTGTTGGTGAGGGCGGCAGGCGGGCAGGGCGAGCGCGGGATGGGGGCCGCCGGGGCGCTCGCCTGCACCCATGCCGCAGGGCCTGGCCGTGGCGGGAGAGCCACGCGCGCGTGCGCGYGCCCTGCGCCACGTGCCGGGCGGGCGCTGGGCGGGCGCCGCAGCGGGGCCAGGTGAGCAGGGAGGTGGCAGCGCTGGTGACTGTAACCCGAGCGCCCGGCTCCGGTGTCACCTGTGCCCTGGTGTCGGGTGGCACCGCTGCCGCCGCCAGCCTTGGAGAGGGCTCAGCCGGGCGCTGCACAGGTAAGAGGGGTCTGGGTGCCCACGGGGCGCCCCGGCGTGGCAGGGGCCCACTGCCGGTAGCGGGGCCCAGCACCGGGTTCCATGGCAGGGGTGGCGCGGGCACGGCCGGCACAGCTCCTTGCTGGGGCGCCGCGGGGCACGGCCGGGCACTGCACTGCGAGGGGCCGGGGGGTGCAGGACCCGGGTGCCTGGGGCTGCCCGGGGGGCTGCTGCCAGCAGCGCCGTGCGTGGGGCGTTGGTGCAGGTGCTGGGCGCTGGGAGCAGGCGCAGGGCCTGGCACAGCGCCCGGCGCAGCAGGAAGCGCCGCGCTGGCCGTGTTGACTTAGCTGGGCTGGCCATGCAAAGGCGGCGCGGAGGGGCCGGGCGGCGCAGCGCGAGGCCGCTGACCGAGCCGCCGCGGTATGCGCGGGGTGAGCCGAGGCCGCGCTGAGCGGGCCCGTGCCGGCCCCCCCGCGATAAGCCACGGCTAATCCGCGCACCGGGATCCGGCACAACCGTTCCCACGCGCTGCGGGGGCGATGCCGAGGGTCCCGCGGTGCCAGGCCGAGCCCGTCCTGCTGCAGCTGGCGTCGCGCGAGAGCAGCCCCGAGGGCCTGCGCCGGGCCGACTCCACRCGCAGGTCAAGGAACTTTGGCAAGCAGCCCAGCACCGGTGACTACTACAAGCAGCTGGGGCCCGGTGCCACCGCCGCCGCTGCCGCTGAGCTGCCGGGGCCCCGTGGGATGGCGCACAGCGAGGAGGCATGTGCCAGCCCCACTGCGCCCTTGCCCGGCGCCAGGCTCGCGGCTGGGTGCAGAGTGCACGGTGCAGGGAGCCGCCCCAGCTCAGCGCGCTCGCGCTCTCTTGCAGGCACCGCTGCTCTCTGCAGACACCATGCACAACGGCAGCGCGGCGGAGAGCAAGGCTGGCGCGGAGCTGCCGCCGCCGCCACCGCCGCCGCCACTGCCAGCTGCTGCTTGCCCACCGCCGCCGCCGCCCGAGGCCCCCGTCGGCCCCCGCCGCTCCTCCTCCTCCACGGGAAGTAAGTGGCTCGCTCGTGCCGCGCACCGCGGCACCGGGCAGCGCCAAGGGTGGCCCGCAAGCACGCGCGGGGCAGCGCGCACGGGGCAGCGCCTGCACGTGGCCACAGGCCCTGTGGAGGCCACGGCCTCGCCGCGCCCTGGGCCTTCGCACCGGTCTCTCCTGGCTGCTTCCGGCCGCTCACGGCCCTCTCTGTCCTTCTCTCCATCGGTGTCGGCGCGGGGGCCGCCGTGCCGGCCCGCCCCCACTTGCTCTCACTGCTGGCTGCTTCTCTTCTCTCTTGTCTTGTGGTGGCCAAATCCTTCCTCTGCCTCCGGCGCCGCCCCGCGCCTCCGCTTCTCCCCCTAGAAGGAAAAGCTTTGAGGCAAATGAAGAGTAAGTACTGGGAGCAGCGGGCGCCCGTGGTGGCGCATGCGGCGGGTGCAGCCYGGCCCCGGCCCCGGCCCCGGCCCGCGCGGCGTCGCACAGAGGCCCTTTGTTCGGGCTCATCCGGCCGGCTTTGCCCCGCCACGTGAGCGCCGGGCCCCCCCGCCGCCGGCTGCCGCCTTTATTAGCGCCGCAGCCCAGGCACGGCGCTCCCGGCGCCCACATGGCGCTGCCCGATCCCGCCCGGGGCCCCGACGCCGCCGGCCCCGAGGCGCCGTGCGCCGCTCGGGACACGCGCGCGGGCAGCTCTGACGGTGGGTGCGCGGTGCAGCGCGGTGCAGCGCGGCACGGCACAGCGCGGCAGGCGCTCCCGGCACCAGCGCCCTCACTGCCCGCTCCCCGGCAGGTACCAAGTCGTTCAACATGATGTCCCCCACCGGCGACAACTCGGAGCTGCTGGCTGAGATCAAGGCTGGGAAGAGCCTCAAGCCGACACCGCAGAGCAAGGGCTTCACCACCGTCTTCTCWGGCAGCGGCCAGCCGGGGGCCAACGTAGGTGCCAGGGGCCACACGGGGGCCCTGGAGCGTGCTGTGGGCTGAGCCACGCGGTGCYGCACGGTGCCACGCAGCCCACGGCACCCACGGCACCGTCCCCCGCAGGCCGAGTCGCCAGCGTCCTCCCCATCGCCGGTGAGGACACCCACCCCGCCGGCCACCCCTGAGGCAGTGGCACCGCCGCGTGTAAGCGGCTCGCCGGAGCCCGTGGTGAATGGGAGCTCGCCGGTGCCGGCGGTGGGGGCCGGGGCGCCGGCGGAGGTGGAGACGCTGGTGCCGAGCCAYGACGAGCAGGGCCGGCCCATCCCYGAGTGGAAGCGGCAGGTGATGGTGCGCAAGCTGCAGCTGAAGATGCAGGAGGAGGAGGAGCAGAAGCGCAAGGTAGGGGCTGCCCCCGCGCTGCCCRCGGCCCCACGGCACGGCATCGACCAGCAGCAGGACCGGTGCTGCCTCCCCTTTGGCCCAGCGCGGCCACACTGCATGCACAGGCACCACCAAAGCGCCCACACTGTGGCAGTCCGCGCTCCTCCCTTGCATGTCGGGCAGGTCGGGCAGAGGTCCCTGGGTGCAGGGCAGTGTTGCGGCCGCGCGCAGGCTCAGGGCTGCTCTGCCTCTTTCCCGCCCAGCTGGAGGCCGGGAGCAGCGGGGCTGCCGGGGGCGGGCGCTGCGGCCCCGCYGGTCGAGCGGCGCTGGGACCCTTTGGGCCGCTCATGCCGGAGGAGGACATGCTCCGCATTGAGAGGCAGATCGAGAACCTGCGGGTGATGCGCCAGGTGCAGGCGGTGGAGCCGCAGCTGCGGCAGCTGGAGCAGGAGCTGCAACAGCTCCTGCCGCTGGCGGCTGCGGCTCCTCGGCGCCCCGGTGCCCGCTCCGCGCGCCCAGCGCCTCGCGGCGCCGAGCCACCTGCCTGGGGCAGCCGCACCTCTGCGCTGCTGCGCAGCATGGCCCTGCTGCTGGCCGCGCTGGGGGGCAAGGAGGGCCCCACCGCGCCGCCGCCAACGCCACCGAGCCCCGGCGGCCCCCGGCACGCTGCCCGCTGCGACATCCTGCAGAGCGGCGTCTCCGTGCGCGCCCTGCGTGCCGGCTAC